GCCACCTGAAAACCCGAGGACTCGACAGGCTGACATCTGGATTCAAAGCCCGGGTGGCAGTTAAACACAAGATGATGACTAGGTAGTACAAGAAAACTATAAGTAAATAAATAAAGTACACCAAGGATACATCTCCAAACTATACAGGATATATTTTTATCAAGCTACAATCAAACACTTGTTTGGTCTTTGTAGACGTACCACAAAGAGCTAAAAGGGAGAGAAAAGGTAAACTATTGTGTAGCGAACTAAGCAAAGACAAGACATCTGCACTAACCTATCATTACTGATGATTAGCACTGTTGAACAAATAGAGATCAAGCAGAGAAACACAGCAAATGGGGTTTAATAGCGACGCTGCACTAAAAGCTTTCCTTCATAGCCGTCTGTCATCCATTGCCAAGTTAGATTTAAGACTTTTAAAATTTACATTCCAAGACCAACTTCACCCTAGCCAAAGGAGAAGAAAAAAACCTCACCATCAGTTTTGGTTCGAGACAATTCAGGGCGAAATGCCACGGAGGCAACTTCCAGGCCTGAAAAGTGAAGCTAATGCGGTAGTGAGTTAAACTTGCATTCTCTCTAGTGGCCATCAGGGGGCGACTGAGAAAATTATTCTACTTCTCGCTTGATTTATTACCTCAGTAAAGATTGTAAACATAGACCATAAAGACACAGGGTATGCTTAGGGGGCGTAGCTACCTTGTGATTGACAGGTGGCTAGCACGCCGTTGTCTGGTCTTGGAGTGGTCCGTGTTTTTCGTCTTACAACTTTAACCCTTTCGCAGAGTGTTTTCAGTTCATGGAAGTTAACCTTTTTGGACACCGAAAGAATATTCATCAGCGTTCGGTTGCACTTAGTTCCAACCCGTCGTGTCACTTTTGGTTGCAAAAACCAAGATATCAACGGCGAAAATGCAGAACTTCATAACCGCAGTCCACAAACCAATAGGTGACATCACGCTGACTGCGTGAGTGTATGGAAATACCTGCCGTTTGCTGGCGAGCTTACCGCATTTTTGTGTTTCTCACTATGCATGGGAGATTCCACTGTCTTGATTCCTATCATCCCAAGTTTGAAACACTTCCTGAGTAAAATACACTGTGCCTCGTAGACATTGGCTGGTAACGGTGTCAGCCATGCACAATCTTGGTTTAATAGCCAATTTCCATAATATTTGCATTTCCCCATGTCACCGCCAACAGACAAAAACGTGAGTGGTGTTGGTTCAGCTATCCTACTTGAGTGACATTATTTGTATAGTATATAATTTTAAAAACAGATGTTACCAAATATTTTGAGATTTTAGTCAGGAGACAGAAAAAACTATTTGTAGCATCCTGCTTCTAATGTCTTAGCATTTTTAGGACTTTTGACAGATTGATTTAAGATTTTTTTTTAAACCAAATAATGCCTTATTTTTAGATTTATTCATACAGTGTCTTTTAAGATCCACGGGAACCCTGTGCCTAACGGCTAATGTCAGTCTGTCTCTAAAGTAAACACGTTTATGTTGCTTTAAAATGCGATCACTTGAAGTTGTGGATTGGGGAAAAAGCTTTTGAGTTTCTATTATACATGTTACTGCATTCGTTACTACACACTGTGTTCGATGTTGACATGGAAAAAAAAGGAGATAGAGACTACCCACACTATTGCGCACAATAAATTCCAGTGTGCAGTAGTCACAGGAATTTAAAGCTTCATGTCAATTTCAGTCATATCTGGCGCAAGAAGGAAAACTGCGTGAGGAATGACAGACCGCAGATAAGCACTAAGCCAACATCAGGTGAAGTATTTCATTCTGCAGGGACAACTGAAGACCAAAGGTGTTGACGTTTCAGTAAAATCAGTCGAGTCCTCTTTAAAATACAACCCACAATAAGTGAAGCTTGTCTGTCACATCTCTAATGTCCTTAATTTAGAATAATAACCATGTTCACCCAAAACACCGTAACTCGCTGTGTCTATCTAACCAGCACAACGGTTTATGTTTTCATCTCCTTTAGGCTGAGTCTTATTAATTGAAGCACTTGAGTGACGGGGCTTGTCAGGATCTTAACACGTTACTGCAGCTGTTGGCCGGTTTCCAAAAAAAGGCCAAAAGCTCTTGTAAGCGATATCCTCTATCAGGAGTTAAAGGGGAAATAACTCTCCATGCGCTTTAGGCCTCGGGGTGAGTTTGGCCTGCGACGGACTGACAGTCAGCAGGAAGCATCTGTCTGCTTTGCTAAAGTATTGTTGTCTTGATGGCTCAACACTGTCCTGGTCTTTGATAGCAGGTGGTGAGAGGAAAATAATTATGCTAAATTAAATCATCTCATCATCTCCACCGATTTAAAGCTGCACTTCTATAACAGTCGGACTCACGATGGACGGTTCTAAAAATGATCAAAAGTATTTCTGCAAGACCAGGGAGATCATATTTTTGATACCACGCATTTGTCTTTCCTTGTCAAAACATTGCATCTACATTACCCATAATGCAACCTGGCTGCTGACAGCTTGGTAATGTCACACAAACACATTATTTGTTTAATTCTCAGACCCAACTGACACTGACTTGAAGTGACATACCTTGAGGACATTTTTCAGACTTTGTGCAGCTCTTTCTGGGGCCACACATGGCTTTAAACAACTTGTTTTCACGTATGCACTATGCAGTCATACTTCATACCAACACTCCAACCATCGACACCTGCAAGCTGAGGCACAGGTCTTTAAACCCGATGGCGCATGTCAGATGTCAAGGTTAAATTCAAACTCAAGAACATGAACTCAAGTAGAGGTCAGTACTTTTTACTGTGACCAGGACACAAACGTCTAAAATCCTGAGATGAAATATACCAACATATAATTACAGAAGGAGATGAATCAACATAAAGAAATCCATGTTAAAAACGGCATTCATCATTCCTCCTGTGCTGGTTGTCTACTTCCTTGAATGAAGAGCTACAAGGAAAAGAAGATGACGTTTTTCTATGAGGTAATGTTGGCCGTCATTCCTCCCCTCCTCTACTTCATCTCTCTCTCTCTCTCTCTTTGCAGTAGCACAGCAGCTCCATTCTTGGCATCAATTACCAGCGGGCAGATACGCAATCTTACTGTGCAAACAATTAAAGGCTGCTCCTCTGCACTCCAAACTACTCACTCGTGTTGCAGCGTTGAGGATTAACCCAATACGCTTACTCATTAACCCCGGAGACACACCAATCAATGGCATTCCTGGGAACTGTGTTTGCTAAACCGAGGGCAATGAGACGCAGCGGAGAGCTACTTGTTGCAAAGATCGTTGGCTTGCCGGTTACCTTTGAACCTGGCTTCTAAGCTGCCAGTTTCAACTTGACTTTGATACAGGGAACACTGGCAGGATCTTCATTGTATTACATTGGGAGGTACTAAAGTAAATTAATTGGCTTTTGGACTGCAATATTACAATCTGACAAAGTGGCCTAAAAGTCAAGATACCATACATTTTTTGGGCAGGTAGATTTTAAACACATCTGCACAATGACGGCTGACTCTACCAAGATGAAGAACTACCAGAAGGCAATGTATGCATTTCTGTGAGCACTGCCCTTGTTCTCTGTACGTGAATCAAGTGTAACCGGCGGGTGGTCAGGTGACGTGACAGTGATCGATACAACCCCTTATAAAACACAACAACACTCTTTCCAAAAAGCAACCAGTATTTGACTTACTGACTGGCAGCATTGTGCATGCAGTAAGAGGGTGTTATGTAACCGTCAGGAATTCAGTTAAAGACAAATGAGAAAACAATGTGTGGTTGTGAACCTGTGAAAGACTCTTGACGGGGCGTGCTTTAAAGTGACAGGTCCCCGAAGAAGAAAAAGACTATGAGTGGAATGTCTTGAGTGATATGAAAACAACCGGTTTCCTTTACAACCTTTGGCGGTCCGACAATCTTTTTACAGTGCGGAAAACAAATGGCAGTAATCACAAAAACAAGAATAATACTATAACCCCCGATAGGCCACTGGCTGTTTGCAGATAGAGAGCTCCTCTGTGTGTGTGCTACATAATCCCCACACAGCTGGACCCAAAGTGCAATAAAACCTCTGTATGGGGGCAGACACGACTCGGGGCCGACGATAGACACAGTTGTCGCTGAGCAGCATTGTGTAACTGATGTGAAAAGACACAGAAAGACATAAACTCGCAGGAATCAATCTATTTATACAGGCAAACATCAGCCCACACATACTGGTATGACTTAAATAACTAGTTATCATTCTCCTAAAACTAAGTCAACCAGGCTGCAATTTTAGCAAAAACGGTCGGTCTTTTGAGGCAAATCCAAGTCAAGTCTCATTTCAGTCTCTGTTCAAGAATCTCTGTGCATCTCTGCTTGTAATCAAAGGAAATATATCATATCCACCTGCTCCCAACTTCAGCCCTCCAGATCAAGTCCCAAGTCAAGTTAAATCAATTTTATTTAGCCCGTCACATATCACGACTTTGCTTCAAGGGGCTTTAAAATCTCTACAGACAGAAAAAACTTTTACAGGGAAAAAAAATTGAAGAAACCTCAAGAAGAGCAACAGAAGAGGGATCCCTCTCCCAGGACGGAGAGAGATACAACATGTGATGTGTATGACCAGACCAACACAGTGAATTACAGTATGGACAATCTGGATGACACAATTATAGACAGATTGTATTAAGAATAGATTGGAGAGGACATTCAGCAACTTCAGGGGGCACAACTCTGAATATGTGAAGTGCAAGTCTTTCACGTTTCAAGCTGCATGGTTTTAAATCACAAGTTATTTTCTGTTAAGTCACGTCTCGTCTTTTGGGAGTCTGGTCTCAAATCAACATCGTCTCATTGCAGTCGAGTCTAAAGTTGTAATTTTTGTAACTTTGGTTTGCCTCATGGTCAAGTCTCGTGTCTCAAACGTGCAGCTTCGTCATCAGCAGAGAACATTTGCAAACAACAAATGCATATTCATTGAATCCCAGAATGCTTTCTGCTTACCTCTAGCACTGGCCCGGCCCCCAAGATGATCTGCTCCACTCCACTGGCAAATCCCTTCTGGCTGAGAGCGGTCAGGTGATGAATGAGAAAGTTCGTGCTTTGCGTCTTCCCAGAGCCGCTCTCCCCAGATATAACAATGCACTGATTTCTCTCTCTCTGCAGCATGGCGTGGTACGCCACGTCCGCCACGGCGTAAATATGTGGCTCCAAATTGCCCAGTGCGTGATTATCGTACATCTTCACATACTTGGGGTTGTAGATGGGCAGGAACTTGAAGGGGTTAATGACGATGAGGATGCTTCCGACATACGTGTAGATCTTTTCCTGCCGGAAGCGTGAGCGCAGGTTGTCCAGCAGCGAGCGCTCGTTGAGCTCCGGCAGGTGGCACAGATCTGCGTGGTCCCCCTGAGAATCAGGCTGTGGCAGCAGTCCGCGCTCCACCATGCGTCGGCGCTCCTCAGTGACCTGAAGCCACATCTGTAGGCTGCCCCCATAGTGAATCGAGCCGTCCAGGTTCTTCTGCCTGAGGAGGAAGCGGTAATCCTCGCCGCCGGACTGCGGGCGGTGCTCTAACGCCACGCGGGGCCAGAGCATCATCCTCTGCACGGGACAGTCGCAGGGGTTCAGCACCCATTCTTCCCCACCGAACTCCTTCACCTCAGCCAGAACATAACACTTGGTGCGGTCCAGCTGCAGGCGTTCAATGACGCGTTCGATGGCCTCGGCGGCTGTGGTGGTCTTGCGGGCGCTGATCGGGCAGTAGATGGTGCCCTCGGCCAGGGCGCCTGGGTAGATGCGCAAAGTGAACTCAGAGTTCTCGAAGCGCGACCGCCGGCCCAGGGTGCCCATGCCATAGACGCCACCAACGCCATCACGAACACTCATGGCGGAGCAGGAGTTCCCATTAGCAGCAGCCGGCACTGGCACGTCCTTTACTGAGCTGGAGAGGCCATCAATTCAAGACATTACCACTGTGAAGCAGAAGAGAAAGACACAAATATCTATCAATACCCTGAAGATCTGGGATTGGTCTAAACATCTAAATAGCACTTGTTTGAAGCAGACACTAAAAACACAGATTACACATCAAATAAACAGCAAAGCACCAGCAGGAATGACTCTGCATATGATCTGAAACTGCAACAACTTCTACCTACTGTTGAATTGATCTAAACCCAGACCAAAGACCTCTGCAATTGGCCAGATTACGAAATTTGTCGGATGATGACACAGAGACTTCATGTGCTATGATGTAATCTAAAAAGGGCCAAATTATTTAGCTGGAGCCCCGACATGCACACTCAAAGGATAAAGGATAAGTCATCTGGATCTACAGGATTACCATTAACACACATACACGCTCCCGAGCACACACATAAGCTCTCGCCAACGCCGTGACCAACAGCTGCCGTCCTCTTTAGTGAAGAAGACACAATCACGCCATTCACAAGTTCCCTCTTTAATACACAGCAGAGGGACATCATGGGGTGAGAAGAGGCCACGGCGCGAGAGAGAGAGAGACGAGTGACTGAGCTGCTGACAAAAACTCTCTGTGATTTCTTCACTATCAGGTTTTGTAGAGTTCTGTGGCACAAACATTTCATAAACCACCACATCTGAATCAATCAATTCATGTTATTTTTGAATAGTCAATTGAACTGGTGTTTTGAATACAATACACTCAAGCATTCAGCAAATTTGGCAAAATGTGCCTATTAGCCATCAACGATAAGTTAACCAATATATTCAGCATTGCAAGGGATGGTTGTGTGGATGCAAAACTGCTAATAAATAAGCCAAATATACGCGATGTCTCTTAAATAGACACAGTGGAGCACTGCAGGTGTTTGACTGTGAGAAGTACTTTGTGCAATATCTGGCTATCATGATGCTTAGTAGTACTAGTAGTAGAAGAAAAAGAAGACAAATTAAACTTAAACAAAAGCAAGTCTAGACAAATAGGTCTTGAGCTGCTTTTCAAAAGTGTTCACACTGTGAGCACATCTTCTTAAGGACAATCATTTGTGTCACACTTGATGCTTTTAATGCTGATGAGGCAGAAATATAAAGATGCACTTTATTGTGTTTATTTCTGTCAGCCGCAGGTGAAGCCTCCATTGCAATAGCCGTTGAATTCCTTCTTTCGTCCAAACCAGATAGCACTGCAGGCTTGTGTATCATCAGTCTGAAATGTTCAATGCATTCCAGGAGTTATCATGTGACGCGCTGTAATTTGTCTTTATTGTACCCACTTTCCTTTAACTCCTCTCTCGACTTCTACTTTAGAAACCAATTTTCAAAGCAGGCGAATGAGCTTCAACTTGTTGCCATCAGCTGTGGGCTTTTGTCTAGCAGGTAGAGAAAGGAATGGCGACGTACTGAGTTACTTAACTTGCTATGTGTGCCGTCATTTCCTACAGCCAGAAGTAGTCCGAACCCCAAAGATATTCAGTTCATTTTCATGTACGACAAAGAAAAGGATCAAATGCTCACATTTGACAAGCTGGAACAAAGACATGCTGCAGATTCATTTTCTACAGTGTTGCAGCTCCAATCAATATCGTAATTGTTCTTGAAATGTTTGCATATGGCCGGGTATAAATGGGGGAAAGGCCACACCAAACAAAAAAAAAAAGTACATCTTAAATACGTTGGGGTTTATTTTGCATAAATTGCATGAGCAGCATGACCAAGGCAGAAGAAGGAAAACAAAATTGAAAACAGGAAATGGAACAGGGACACGTTTAGTTGGTGCGCAGAGTGGAGCACAAAGGGCTCCTGCGCCCCTGGTCATTTCCTGTCGCCCCACGTCCAACCTCTCCTGCCATGTGTCTCCTCAGCAACTTTGGTATGACCATGAGGGGCACAAACGCACACACGGGACTTCTCCTCTTTCCAAATACAGACAAGCACACACACACGTGAGACAAAAACACACACACACGTGAGACAAAGACACACGCATATCAACTTTAACCTCGAACAAAGCGTTCAATTTATCTGCATTAAGCTCAATCCATACACACACAGCCAATGACAGGTATTATCTGACTGTGATCAATGTATGTGCGTGTGTGTGTGTGTAGCACTGAGTTAGGGCCCGGCGCCTGGAACAGATGGTCAGGTCGCTGCTTAAAGGATAGGGAGGGAGGGGGGATTTAGGGTTGTGGCCATGCTGGCTGCTTTTCTGTTTACAATCTCACTCAATCAGCCTGTTATTCAGAAATTTGCCACACACATTTTAAAAGATTAAAGACAAATTACAGGCTTTCTTCAAAGACATAAATTAGACGGGACTAAATAAATTCAGGGCTTGCGTCGGTGCTATAACCTACAAACACAGATCACCTGGTAGAAAAATAGAATGGGCTCCTCTAGCCCTCTGACAACAGACAAAGAGACCAGCCTCACCAGTTTGTATTTAATCCGTGTTGATGAATATTTGGCAGATCGGTTTTGAAAAGGATAATATTACAATGAGGGAATAATAAGGAACGCAGCGACCACAGTGAGCTGGTTAAATAACGGGTGTTTACTTGAATCAGGAAAGATTCAAATGAATGACAAAAATTAATTGAATTCACTTTAACAAGTAGACTGTGGTGACTTTAGGAGCAGTCTGCACCCTAGTAAGAAGAGAGTAAAACGAGGAGCGAATGAGCAAACTGGAGAGAAAAGGTTTGTCACATTCTGCCTTCACAGATACAAGATTCTTAAAGCAGCTTGCTTAGTTTAAATACCTTCAGTGACCGGGAAGCATGTGAACAAATGAGAGATGAAGCCTCAGCATCCTGCACTCACATGCCCATAGCAGGCACCTGGTCACCACCCCACAAATTCAGCTGTTGTCCAAGTGATACACAAAAATGTGTGAGTGCTACTCTTTTGTTTTATCTTCTTAGATAACGTATCAACTATTCACTCCTCAGAACTACGTGTTCTACACCAGCATTGTTCTCTCGAATGCAAAAAAAGATAATAACATTGTTAAACAAAGCATTCTGTTCCAACCCAGTACAATTGCATATTCACACCTTGCGTTGACGGCGTCACATTGTGTAGTGATGACCTGTGAGACCGCACAGCCACAGAGAGAGCGAAGAAGAAGAAGAGAGAATGTTTGAGGCATGATGTCATTTCACCTGAGCGCTGCGGTAACTTTCAAAGAAGAATGCTTGATGTAGATAAACTGGAGGTTTGTGCCCTGCAGGAAGTGACAAAGCGGGGGGGGGGGGGGGGGGGGGGCCGGGGGAGCAACAGCTGGAAGAAACCTGCAGTGGCGTCTTCTTCATTTCTGTCCTCCTCAAACAACTGAACCAGAAACAGATCCGGTTACTTCACCTGCATGCTCAGGAATTAGGAATCACAGTCAAGTAATCTGACCCTGGAATCTGTTTGACGGTACTTTCCTCAAGAGACAGCAGACCAGGACTGACCCAATCTCAGCGAAGATATGGACCGTAAAGCACATTCCATGTGTGTCAAACAAACAACACACATGTTTTTGCTTGGAGTTAAAACTTAAATCAGATGTTATCCGAGTTCATTAGAGTTAAAAGTAATGTTGGAATGTACTTGTACTTGGATCAGCGACTTAAAAACGACCTGTAGCGTGAGCGAAACATTGGTGTGTAGTATTCGGGAATACAAAAAAAGTGCAGTATATTTATTAAAAAATAAAAAATAAAAAAAAAAGACCGATTTTCAAACTATGACATGAAAACATCTGGGAGAAATCATGTTTTTTCTAACCGACAACGATGGTAGTTATTGGTTTTGTAGGTCTGAATATTGGTGAGCCGGGGACATTTCTTAATTCTAAGATGCATCTCGATGTGGACGGTTCAGCATCAGTACAGTGACAGAACATGATCGGGAATTTGTTTTAATTTCAGCTCAGTGCGCATGTTTCTCTTCATAGTGTTTCACCGAGAGCGGAGCACAGTGTGTGTGTGGAAAGCACAGTATAAATAAAAAGGCAGTTCCGATTTATAAGACTGCTTGTATTTATTTATGAAAAGGAAATAATTTGCAGTAATATAGAAAAAATTGAGGATGTGATTATTGTGCATTCAAATCGTTGACAGGTGAATTGTAATTTGTTTGTATTCTTTCTGTTTGGAGGTTCCCTCAGACAGGAAACCAAGGAGAGCTTCAACCATGCGAGTCAGTCTCGTCAATGGCGGCCATTGTTGCTGAAGAGTGAAGGATCAAGTTTGGTCAGCTTCCTACGAGTTGAAATCATCTTTCTGAAAAGCAGTGCAAGTCACCGTCATCAAGGCTAAGCTTGTGTATTCAAGGCTCATGACGTCGTGGCGGCTCTTTATTGTGCCTTTAGCCACCGAGTATGTGCTACACCAAGGTGTGTTGGCACTGACTCTCACATCTTGTTTACATGTTTTATTATGTTTGTCTGTGAATCTGACAGCTCCGCGGTGCCATATTATGCTGCTGATGTTTATTAGCTACATGTTGATTATATCTATTTAATTTTACTTGTTATAGAAATGAGTTTGAAATCAAGTGTTGCTAAAAGATACCGTATACTGTACTCAAATCTTTGACAGTATTGTCCAGGGGAAAAAAACAAGACAATATTTGATAGTGTTTTCATTGCTCAAACCAATATGACGTCTGTCTTATAAAAACAGACAATCAATGCATCCTTTGTCTGCCGGTCAGCGGAGCTAAAGCTCAGTAAAGGTTTCACTGGGTGTGTTCATAACTATGCTGGGTGAATTACAGAAAGACGGGCGTGTCATCTTGTATTTACAAGTTGTATTACTATTTCAACACCTGTTTCGCCACTTTAATTGTCCTATTTTATAATCATTATGTTGTTTCACACACTTTTGTTTCTCCAACAGCATAACAGTTCAAAAACTGAAAAGAAAATGTCATTGAATTTGACGGACAATTTGAACTTGTGCCAAACAATAAATTTGTTGTGTTTCTGTTTGATTTCCACCTT